AGTTTAGGTTTGATTTGCAGCAATGGCAATAAGAAGGTAGTTTCAACAAGTTATCCAAGTTATCTTAATTATTATTCATTTTATCTGAACTGTTTCATATCAAATACAGATCTATAATTGGCTTACTTCAATTAGATTACTGACTGCATCTTTTTACCTATTCAGTTGAATTTCCTGTTCTTTTATCTTCCGAATCCTTTCTTTCTTTCTTTGGAATGGGGTTGTCAATTTGTGACTTTGCTCCAAGGAAATCTTGGAATGTTTGAGAGAAATAGCATTGTAGAAATATTTTCCCCATTTATATTTAATTGATATATTTATGTTCCAAAAAAAAAAAAACAACCCAGATCATCTTGCATCATTATAATTACCTAATTATTCTAAAAGCACTCATTAATATCCAGTCTAATCAGTACAAGAGGATAGTAAAATATTGTTAACCTTATACTCTGGATTTAATGCACAAATGAGCATAGAACCAATTTAAAAACAGTATTTATTACATGCAGTGGAGAATAGAAGTATCAAAGTCTACAGGTCATGAAGAAGTCTGTCACTGAGTTATTACAGCTCTTGTGGAGGCCATTACTGCTAAGGTAAGCAGTAATAATAAGCTTTATGCATTTCAAGTTTTGTCTGGCCCTTGCTGAATTGCCTCTTGGGTCTAGCTTGGGTCAGAGGGTTGATTTTATATACAGAATTGTAGCAATTTACGTGAAAAATATAACAAGCTGTTCTAATGACTGCTCAGGAAGAAAAAAAGGAAATAGTGACATTTAATGGCAAATATGTGCTACTTAATGTACTGTATTTAAATTTCAGATGACTGATTTTACATAGCCAAGTAAGGTGTATCTTGACAGCCTTGCAAGGCTCCAGAAGTTGTTGCAGCCAAAAATGTGTCACTGAAACATGGATAATTTTTTTGAGGTTATTTTGGGGAAGAAAGGGGAGGGGGAGGAAAACCCAAAGCTTTTCTAAAATCAGTAAGTCTCAGAATTTCAGAATAACAGTCTCCAAAACAAGACTCTTCGGGCACCTGCAGAAATAGTAAATCAGTGTAAAAAGTGCATATCACTAGTGAAATCTTATTCTTCTTGTGCAAGACATGGATTTAAAAGCCTAAAGCAAGTATCAGGTTGAAAACCATGTTTGCATCAAACAGCAATAATAACCACAAAATACTGTATTCAATTGATACATGGTTGTAGTCGTCTAAGAATAACAGCTTTCAAAATCTATACAAAGCATCACTCAGTTTAGTAGTTTGTAAAAAAAAGACATCAAAGTAGATGTTTCATCTTATAGATCATCTTTTACTTACTAAAATACTTTCCCTTTGGAAGGAATTGTGAGTATGGTCTTCAGCCTCTTTATAAGGTTGCACTGCCGATCTGGTCAAGGTTAGCATTGGATCTTTCTCTTTATTGAACATCTTTTCTGTGAAATGATCACTAGACATGGAGGTTAGGAAAGTAATACTTAGGAAATATTGTTTTCTTATTGTGATGGCCTTTGTCTTGCTATGCTGCCACCTTGCAATAGGAGTGGTTCTGAGTTCGTGTGTCCTCCATTTATTTTTATTTGAGCTCCATTATCTGGAATGTGTTGAGTGTAAGATACCCAGTTCCTCTTTTTTTTGTTACCAGTGGCAGTTACCACTATTTCAGGTGACTGCTAGCTTTAAGTTGTAGAGCCAAATGTAATAGGAAAAGAGTTTATATAAGGCTTTATTTGCTATTGCAGTGATGTATCTAAACTGAACACTTTTAAGAGATGAGTCCTAGAATCTCTGGTAGTTGATACATTGTCTGTATGGATTGATCTTCTTATTGTATTTCCCCTTTGGAGGTTATATGATCAACACCATGAAAGAAATGTAAAATAACTTGGATTTCATATGTCTACATTGGTGAATTATTCTAAGTAAAGTTCCCAGCTAGACAATTTCAACATTCGTGTTACACACAGTATTGGAAATTGTCCTTTTAGGATTGAACATGGCTTGTGTTAAACACATAAAATGGACAATCATTTTCTAGAAATACTCTTATATTGGAATAACTACTCATTTATTTAATCTCTTTTAGAAGCTACGTTTTTCAGTATAATCTCACCCTCTCCAGAAGGTTGTTTTGGAAGCCAGAAATCTGTCTTGTTTTAATACAGAGTGTACGCTTTGAAAAATCTTTCATCTTGACAATGAATCTTGAGATGTAGGATGCTATTTCAAAAGTAATGCAATAGCTGAATCCCTTGGAAAAGGTCTTCCATCATAGGTAATCACCCCTAGTTAATGTGTGTGAAACTAGCACAATGGCTCAATTTTTCATTTATAATCAATGGCTAAATCTTAATTCTGTACACTGAAAAAGCAGAAAATGTAAAGTGATAAGGTTTAAAACGTGAGTCAAACCCTTTTAGACCAAGTAATTAATCAATTTACCACCAATACAAAATTCCAATCTGTTTTTATCCATTTACTCATATCACATATAACAGCATAAGACCATCCTTTTGCTCTGTTTACATAACCCTAAAGTGTGACTTTGACCCATTACTAAGATTCCTAATTAAAAAACAATTAAAAAAAAAAAAACAACTGTATCTTTCAGATGAACTTTTCCTACATCAAAATATCAGTTTTGCTAGACATATTCTATTTTCTATAAAAGCCTGTTAATTCATTTGCTGTGTTCATTATACATAGCAAATAATAGAGGCTCTAATACTTCAGTGAGCTGTGCTTGAGACGATTTACACGCTTTAGAGAGCACACTGCAGGATTGACTAAGAGAAAATTCATCAGCTTTGTAAGTGGTATTCTTAGCATAGCAAAGGTTAATTGTTGTCAAGTTTTTGGTAGTGGCAGTGTAAGTGTGCCTTTGTGAGGTGTTTTGATTTAGTGCCACATGACACTCTGGTTGTAAAATACTGTACATTCTCAAGGGGCACAGCTTGAGTAGTTTATGAAATTGCTAACTAAAACATCTCCAAAAAGTAATTCACAATGGAGGGAGCTTTCAGAGAGGGTATCTGCAGAGACTGATAGTTGGTCCCGCACATCCAATATTTTTTTAGTCACCTGAAAATCAACATAACACTGATCATAAAATTACTGATGAGTAAATAACTATGAAGAAAGGACATCATACAAAGCAATTTGAATCACATGACATTTACATCGTATAGGGTAAAGCTACGCCTACATATCAGAGGACTTTTTCTGACAGCGAGATCAGTACAGCAGTGCTTTGTAGTTCTGACACGGTCAGTTTTAAAAGAACATTGCAAAATTGGGGCGAGTTCAATAAAAATCACAGAAAATATTTAGTAGACTGGAGAAAATGTCTTATAATAAGAGATTTAAAGAGTTCAAACTTTTAATTTCAAAGAGACAACAAAAAGGTAATGAATTTGCAGTGCAGAAATGTCTTTTAAATGTCTTTTTTTGGGGGGAAAAATGTTCTTAAAGCTCATGTGAAAGAGAAAGGCAGAACAAGAACCAATGTTACAAGCCACACAAATAAGAGAATAGGCACAAGTATGTAATTACTGGTTAAATCATCTTTGGAACAAAAGATCAAGGGAAACAGTGGATTCTCTACAGTATACTATCTTCTAATCTGTCTTGATATCTCTTTGGAACATACATACTAGCTAAAAAGAAAAAATGCTTTGGTTAGACTAGCATTATTGGACTCAATACAAGAATATTTTTGAGTGGAAGTCAAAATAGGTAACTTTATGTTTTCTGCATGAACCTATGAACAAAATATTATATATGTGAAGTCAAATCTATAAAATTAGACCTGAAGGATTTATTTCCATTTATATAAACTTACAATACCATATAATCAAATTTAATACACCAAACAAATCAATCATTCCAGGTTTATTCATGAAAATATTTTTGTTCTCCATTAACACGCCATGCTGTGTAAACTTACATATACTCTTGAACTATGTAATTTCTGAAGTTTGTTCTGGATGTTCAGTCAAGCACATGTCAAATGATCAAAAGGCATCTGATTGCAGCAGTTTCAGAACAGACACAAACCTAACAGACTTTTTTGCTGGCCATATGAATTGAGTAAAAATGATAGAGGAAATTGGATAGGTCTGAAATTGATTATTGCCATTCTTTTCTTGAATTCAATAAAAATAAATAAAGAAGTTTTTTTTAAAGATCATTCTACTATAGTTTACTAGTAACTATGACTCTGAACTCAACTGTAATTCTGATGGTTTTTTGCCTTTTATGTGTGTCAGCTGAAGTAGTAGTGGAGACTGAAATTTCTGTTTAAGTATATATTTCTGAATTAGCATGTAATTGTCATCTATTAAATGATTTCTCTGATGAATTCTACAGTTTTATGCAAGATTTATAGAAGTAATCAGGTCATCTAAAGGATAAAAGGACATCTTAGCCTGTATTGAAATAAAAAAGCTTTGTTTCTGGTAAGGAATTATCTATCCAGTTACAAATGCAACAAGAACTGTTTTTAAGGCTTTGTGAATACTGGTTGGTGGTCACAGTATGGAGCTCTGCTATTGTTAATGGACTTACTAAGAAGTTAAAATTTCATTTAACTAGAAACATTTTTCTTTTGATGAGAAATGACATGCTGTTCTTTAGCTGTGATGGGTTCTAATTGTGGTCCAGGAGGTAAACAGTCAGTGGTTGATTAATCTGGTTATCCCACTGTTAAGAATTTTTCATTTTAAAATATTTTTAATTTTCTAAAAATAAGATTTTTGTACTGCTGAGACTAACCTAGCTAACATATAATAAGTTCTAGCATAAAGGGCTACACAGATTGACACAATAATTTCACACCAGCGTGTTTAAAAATACTCTTCTTAAAAGATATAATGCCAGACTGGCATGTTTTGTTAAAAGCACAATGCTTTTAACAATTAGGGGAAAATGGATGTAAGCAGTGTCACTTACCACTCTGTCAAATTTAATCTATTTAACATTTCTCTGTTTCTTTCAGCATAAAGAACGTCACTCCAAAAGTAGGTGATGCTGAAACTCGTAAAGCCATTCGCCGTGCCTTCGATGTGTGGCAGAATGTAACTCCTCTAACATTTGAAGAAGTTCCTTACATTGAATTAGAAAATGGCAAGAGGGACGTGGATATTACAATCATTTTTGCATCGGGTTTTCATGGAGACAGTTCTCCCTTTGATGGGGAGGGAGGATTTTTGGCTCATGCATATTTCCCTGGGCCAGGAATTGGGGGAGACACTCATTTTGACTCAGATGAGCCATGGACTTTGGGAAATCCCAATCACGATGGTAAGAGAAGATTTCAGTTTAAACAAAATAAATAAATGGCATGAATTTTCAGCTAACAGAACTATTTCCATGCTTCCCTGTCCCTAAAGTCACATATTTTTCTTTCCTAAGTTCACATTACTTTAGAAATATCTTCAGTTGATTGGTCTATTAGAATCTGAGGCAGAAAAGTTTCTGTCTAAATGTAAGTTACAGTATGAAAATGTGTTTCTCTTGAAAGACATTGAATTCTTGTTAGGAACCTTTGTGTTCATTCAGACATTGTACTGTTGAATGTTTACATAAACTACTTTCATTTTGAGATTTTTTGCCATATAGGTCTCATTTAGGTTTAGGGAAAATGCGGAATGTTCTTTAGCAGTGATATAAGAGAGGTTAAGAACAACTGAGACTATCCACCAGTACAGTGGGTACCAATGTACATAAAACCTAGTCTTCTCCAGTTTTTCTTTATGGTGATGCAGTGGCAGCATTTAAAGTCAACTCTTAAAATGCCATTCCAAGAAGAGAGTTAGTGTTTCCTAATAATTTTTTAACATATTTTGGAATTGTTAATTCCAACAATAATTCCAATTTACTTAAGTTGTATATTCCCCATAGTCAAATAAGTGACTGCATAGTGCAGTTGACATACCTAAAATTTACCAAACCAAAATTAAAGGTACTCTTTAAAGTTACTTTTCACAGAATTATAATCTGGCCCTTGCCAAGCTTGAAGTTCATGCGACTAAATTACTGCCATTATGTAGGAAACCTAATTTAAAGCTAGCCCTTGCATCTCTGCAGAACAGTATCGAAGAACAGTTTTTGTGTAGACATATTCTGTGTTTGATGCTTTGACAGGTTTTGGTTCCAAGTCACCTCGGTTGTCCCAGTAGATCTCTCTAAGCCAGTTATATAGATCTAAAGAGAGTCTCTTCAGCAAACAATTATGCACTAAAGAGGATGCACAGATGCACAAAGAGGGTGTTTCTGGCATACAAAAAATGATAAAGATGACAAGAAGTGCAGAACTGTTGTATTTCAATGTTACACTGAACTTGTGAACAGTGAAAGGCTTTATCTAATTCCTTTCCTTTCCCTTTCTCACCTGAGATCTTCCAAGTAAAATTCAGAGCTTTTTATGTAGCAGTATTTGTAGCCTGGAGTTTGCAACAAAGCTTTAAGTTAATATTTCAGGAGTATAAATATGGTATTATGACTGTTCTAATGGTGCAATGCTTCTGCTCTGCCAGGGTCAGTGAAGCAAGAGCAGTGTACTGCACTGTGAAAGCCCTTAGTAGCAGAATGGGTTCAAGAAGCTTATTTCTTGTGGACCAAGCCCTAGATTCTTACTGAAGCAAAATCTGTGGTATTGCACTGGTCATATTTGCCCTCTTCACAGGTTTAGCTCAAAGAAATCACAGTGGGAATCTTCTGTTTGTGCAGTTCAGGTACATAGTCAGTCACAGCATTGTGAGGCTAAATTAAGGTGTTTTTATGGGCCTCAGTGGGAGACCAACGCTGCACATAATGTTCTGTGGGTTTGGAGCTATTACTTCAAGCACTCAGGAAAATCTACAGGCATGTGTACATTGAAGTCAAGGTGTCAATTTAAAATGTGACAACCCTTTTGGAGCAGTTCCACAAATGGATACTTCTAGTTTGTATGAAAATGTGCAAGGTTTTGGCTATCTCTTTCTCCTTTAACTTAAATAATTTTCAGAGTGCAAAAGGGCACTCATGTCTTCATATGCCTTTTCGTGATTGAGTCTTGTAGAGCAGTTTTCAAAAGCTATTTCTTGTATTCATGAATTTTAAGGTGTTTTGAAGGAAAAAAAAAAAACAAGTGAAAGTAAAATGATACTATCACTAAAAATATGCTTTTATGTATCTTAGAACATTGAAATTTTACAATAAAAAAGTTTTGCTATCTGTAACATGAAGGTTTAATAGGTATCACTGGAAAATTATTCTGCAAATTTAATAACTTATGTACTTTGATGTGCTCATATATACTTTTTTAAGGGAGACATATTCCTGTTAGAATGGAATAGTCAAGGTAAAAAAAAACTGGGATATTTTATGACTGGAAAATTTCTGCAAAATACATGAAAATTAAAATAAATATCTTACCAACGCAAGTTTTCTGAAGAATTTTGGCAACTCCTAGTTTCATTGTTGAGATGGCATGAACCATGGATCTTAGGTCATAGCTGTTGTCCAGAGAAAAGCCTTATGTCATTGTAACTCTAGAAGTAGCAATGTATGTGCAGTTGACCTGTATACGCAGGGTGCCTATTTGCACGATTGGTGACTTCCAGTTATCAGGTAGGCCAAGTTCTGCTGATGAATTTACTGCATTAGCTTATGTCTAGGAATCCTGAAGGAATGTCCAGATTTTCTTTTGTGACTGGAAAAAAAATCCCGGTGGGAAAAGAAGAGAAGCATACCATTTGGGATTCACAGGAAAAGATGTACAGCTCTCTTAGGCTCCCTATCATCTTGAGTTCAGTCTCAGAGCACTGAAAAGCAGAAGGTTGAAAAATATATTTATGATCTTAGCTATGAGTCATTTTTCCCAGGTGAGTGTAATTTTTTTTAAGGTTCATTGCTCCAATAGTCCAATCTTCATGTAGTGTTAATAGAAATCCAATAGAAGGGGAAAAAGATTTGGTGATTTATTTTTATTTTTAAATTAACGCTCGCCCCCAAAGGGCTGATTTTCTCTGATTCCTATTCTATTCCTTTTCTCTGATTCCTATTCCAGAATGATTTGAAAACATGGACCAACATGGTTATTTAGCGGCAAAAATGCAAATATAAGATCCTCTTGAAAAACACTAGCCTCATTCTTCACCTTGTACTGTTCTTCTAATGAAAACAGTTTGCATATACTATTTACCTCAGAAAAGACAGGCAACTTCTTGAAATGCTTTCATAAACTGTTGTCCTTTTTAAAATAATTTTCATTCCAAATAAGGAATCACATACAAATTCGGTATTCTGAGTATAGTTAATTCCTAAGGTAATTTATCCTGACTAGTTAATTGCAGTGTCTTCATACTTTAGGTTTGGATTTTGTTTTTTGGTTTGTTTGGGTTTTTTTTTTCCCCTTATCATGTTTGCTTGATTTTCTTGTGTTTTGCTTGGTTTTAATAACGTTCTAGACTGAAAGGACAGTTCCAACAGAAATACATCATCTCCACAGTGCAATACTGCTTCCCTTTGTTCTCACTTCAGTGGTATATTTTTGTGGATCGCAGACCTATCTTATCAATCATGTTCTGGGGAAGAGATCTGTGCTTTGACTCCTCCCTAATTCTGAAGAATGAATAAGGGTCTTGTAGGAGTAAAGACTAATGGGCCCGTCGCTCAGGAAAAAAACTCCTGCCGTACAATATAATACTTGCAGGCTCTCTAAAATGATGTATTTCTTTGCTTTCATAATACCCTGTAAGCAGAGTACAGCTAATACCTTAACTCCAGCTGAGTTGTAGAGGTCTTTTCTCCAAATTTCCTTCCACAGTGCTGCAGGTGATGCCAGAAGTATTGGCCAGAAAGAAGGACAAGAAACTTGCCATCACAGGGGAGCAATGGAAACAAGGACAGGATTTCTTTTGCTAGGGAAGGAAGGATACACTGGAGGATAAAAGGTGTTTGAGGTTTTTTGCAAGGCAGGGAAATTGTAGTCTTCCAATACTTTGGACAAAGTGGTTGTATGCATTGGACTGTAGCCTTCCTCCAGACAGCTTTCATGTTCCACTTGTTCTTTTACGACATTTACTTTTCAAGTTGTTCTGTGGGAGTAGGGCTTTTCATAGAATCATAGAATCATTAAGGTTGGAAAAGACCTCTAAGATCATCAAGTCCAACCGTTAACCCAACACCACCATGCCCACTAAACCAGGTCCCTAAGTGCCTCATCTACACGTCTTTTAAATACTTCCAGGGATGGTGCCTCCACCACTTCCCTGGGCAGCCTGTTCCAAGGCCTGCCCACTCTTTCAGTAAAGAAGTTTTTCCTAATGTCCAGTCTAAACCTCCCTTGGTGCAACTTGAGGCCATTTCCTCTCGTCCTATCGCTAGTTACTTGGCAGAAGAGACCAACCCCCACCTCGCTACAACCTCCTTTCAGGTAGTTGTAGAGCGCGATGAGGTCTCCCCTCAGCCTCCTCTTCTCCAGGCTAAACAGCCCCAGTTCCCTCAGCTGCTCCTCATAAGACTTGTTCTCCAGGCCCTTCACCAGCTTCGTTGCCCTTCTCTGGACTTGGCAACTATGGTAGAAGAAGAGGATGGAGGAAACAAACATTGAAGGTGAAAAATTGTTCAGGAATAGCAAATCAGAAGGGATAGGAATATCACAGGAAAACATTTCGCAATATGTACACTTAAAGATGTAAAAGGAGAAAAGAATAAATAGGAGAGGAAAATCAAGTTACATATGTAGCTATCTGAAAAATCAGCACTTATTAAGAAAAACTTTAAATCCTTATTTTCTTCTGAACTTAAGTGCTGTAAAGAAAAAGAAGTAGAGGGAAAAAAAGGAAAAGGAAGAAATCTTAATATACCAGTCTTAAGGCTAGGGAGAGATTTCATTGTTCCCCATGACTCCAGTCCATTTAGGTGATGTATATCACCTCATTTTTTGAATGAAAAATGTATGGACAATGAATAATATATCTAAACCCAGAAAAGGATGATGACTTCTTGCTAAAAGAGGCAATATTTTGGAGATATTTTATTGTCAAAGTTCTCAACAAAAATCTTTTTCAAAGTATTTTTTTCAATTGCAGTATTTCAAATCACTGATGAAATTCAAAGTCACTGCCAGGGAGCAGGGGGGATAGGGACTCTCTCTGTAGTAAATTTTCTAGTAGCCAGCAGAAAAATCCTATCCTATGCCCTGTCTTCCTGTACTGAAACTGAAAGTGGTGTTCTTATTAGCCTTGACAAGGCTCTTCCACATATTATCTCCATCTGTCCATTATTAAATCTGCAGCACTGAAATTTTTTGATGCACTGTAATATAATTCGAGGTTGAAGTGTCAGATTCTAGTGGAGAAAGTAGTGTGCCGGATTTCTGGAAGCTCCGCTTCATTATGGAGCTGTTAAGCCTCAGAGCCTATAGTCTCCTCCTCCCCTATCCTCCAAGTTATTGCAGCATGATGGGCCATACACATTCACAAGGTCTTATAGATAAGATGCTTTCCCTATCATAAGACTGGCAATCATTTGTTTCTACTTATATTCTCCATATTTTGTTCTAACTTTGAGCAACAGGATTTGAAAGCTGTTAATAATGTCTGCTGAGCAT